CTACTGATTTAAGTCTCAGGAAATTGTAAAAAGTGAAAAGGGCTTCAGCTTAGACCATCTGCATACTTAAAGGAGTGTGAAAGATGAGAAAAGAATCTGTGGGAACCAGGGCTGCCTCTGGTGTTCTTGGAGCAGGGCAGATAAACGTGGCTTAAAATACAGAAAGGATGCCCCATAATATTATAATAATATTGGGAAGGAGAGAGATTAGGCAAATACAAAACTCTGTTTGTTTTGAATAGTCATCCACTAGGAATGTGGACTAATTAAAATATTGGGCATACTTACTAAGATGTTTTAATACTAGGAGTGTTTTCTTCCTGCTCCACCATTCTTTTGACCTGTCTAACTTTCATTGATAATCCTCTCTGGCATTCTCAAATCTCAACTTGCTGAGCAGATGGTCTTTCCAGCCAAAGTTTGTTTGTGTGTGTACATAGCATTTTCCAAGGTTACTACGTATGTTCAGTTATCTTCAGTGCTGTTGTTCACTTTGGATCCATCTGAATAAATCCAATCCCCTTCTGGAAGGACATCAAAATTGGTCTCTCTTCTAGGAAGTCTGAAGTTCAACATGTGACTATCCATTTTCTAAAGGCTATTTTGGCACTGCCAAGGTTGCAGGATGATGTGCTCTCAATAAATGAAGCATCTCTTATGTGTTTTGCTAAGCCATGTTCCCTCCAGCGTATACATTGAAGGAGAGCTATTCAGTTTCTCTTCAGGCTTGTCTTAATTTGGTGAAAGGTTTGTGTTACAACCCAGCTATTAAAATGCAAAGTGTAACTTGATTACTGTACACGGGTTGGGCTGTTTAACATGACATATGTCATGCTGATGCATCCAGATGTTGCACACAGCTCTGCCCAAATGATACAGTATTTATTTAGATACCTTAATGTATATTCACCCAGCTCGCAGTAGATGTAATACCTTTATGTATGCGTCATAATCAATATGATTTGATGGACTGAAATGAAGAATTCAGTTGACCTTTGTTATCCTAGACATACAGTGGTGCTTAAAAGTTTGTGAACCCTTT